GAGGCAATTACCCCCAAAATCAATTACAGCCTTCCCTTTGTGATATGGAACCTTGTGGTACAATGTCAGAGAGATCCATACACTTACACACAAGTTATTGTCTGGAAGTTACAAAAATGCTTATTTTTGGCCCCTTTTTGGCCCCTAATTCCTTAACTGTTGGTACCATAACCCCCAAAATCAATCCCAACCTTCCTTTCGTGGTATTGAACCTTATGGTAAAATTTCAAGGAGATCCATTCACTTAAACTAAAGTTAGAGTGCGAAAACCAATGTGTCTTCGGACGACGCCGGACGACGCCAGACGACGACGACGACGACGACGACGACGACGACGACGACGACGACGACGACGACGACGCCAACGTCATACCAATATACGACCAAAAAATTTTCAATTTTTGCGGTCGTATAAAAACGGGACCCAAAATTAAAAGTCTAAAAACACGGTTAGATTTGGCATATCAAAGAACCCCAATAATTCAATTTTTGATGAAATCAAACAAAGTTTAATTTTGGACCCTTTTGACCTCAATATGAACCAATTTGATAGCGGGCCCACAAAATAAAAAATCTAAATACATGGTAAGATTCAGCATATCAAAGAACCCCATATATTCAATTTTTGTTGAAATCAAACAAAGTTTAATTTTGGACCCCAATTTGGACCAACTTGAAAACTGGGCCAAAAATCTAAAATCTAAATACATGTTTAGATTCAGCATATCAAAGAACCCCATATATTCAATTTTTGTTGAAATCAAACAAAGTTTAATTTTGGACCCCAACTTGGACCAACTTGAAAACTGGTTCCTTAATCAAAAATCTAAACACATGTTTAGATTCAGCATATCAAAGAACCCCAAAAATTCAATTTTTGTTAAAATCAAACTAAGTTTAATTTTGGACCCTTTGGACCTTAATGTAGACCAATTTAAAAAACGGGACCCAAAATTAAAAATCTAAATACACGGTTAGATTTGGCATATCAAAGAACCCCAATAATTAAATTTTTGATGAAATCAAACAAAGTTTAATTTTGGACCCATTTGACCTCAATATGAACCAATTTGATAGCGGGCCCACAAATAAAAAATCTAAATACATGGTAAGATTCAGCATATCAAAGAACCCCATATATTCAATTTTTGTTGAAATCAAACAAAGTTTAATTTTGGACCCCAATTTGGACCAACTTGAAAACTGGGCCAAAAATCTAAAATCTAAATACATGTTTAGATTCAGCATATCAAAGAACCCCATATATTCAATTTTTGTTGAAATCAAACAAAGTTTAATTTTGGACCTCAACTTGGACCAACTTGAAAACTGGGCCCATAATCAAAAATCTAAACACATGTTTAGATTCAGCATATCAAAGAACCCCAAGAATTCAATTTTTGTTAAAATCAAACTAAGTTTAATTTTGGACCCTTTGGACCTTAATGTAGACCAATTTAAAAACAGGACCCAAAATTAAAAATCTAAATACACGGTTAGATTTGGCATATCAAAGAACCCCAATAATTCAATTTTTGATGAAATCAAACAAAGTTTAATTTTGGACCCTTTAGACCTCAATATGAACCAATTTGATAGCGGGTCCACAAATAAAAAATCTAAATACATGGTTAGATTCAGCATATCAAAGAACCCCAAGAATTCAATTTTTGATGAAATCAAACAAAGTTTAATTTTGGACCCTTTTGACCTCAATGTGGACAAAGTTGATAACGGGGCCCAAAAATCAAAAATCTAAATACATGGTTAGATTCAGCATATCAAAGAACCCCATATATTCAATTTTTGTTGAAATCAAACAAAGTTTAATTTTGGACCCCGATTTGGACCAACTTGAAAACTGGGCCCATAATCAAAAATCTAAATACATGTTTAGATTCAGCATATCAAAGAACCATAAAAATTCAATTTTTGTTAAAATCAAACTAAGTTTAATTTTGGACCCTTTTGACCTTAATGTAGACCAATTTGAAAACGGAACCAAAAATTAAGAATCTAAATACACGGTTAGATTCGGCATATCAAAGAACCCCAATAATTCAATTTTTGAAGAAATCAAACAAAGTTAAATTTTGGACCCTTTTGACCTCAATATGGACCAATTTAAAAACGGGGCCCAAAATCCAAAAACTTAATACTTGGTTAGATTCGGCATATTAAAGAACCCCAAGAATTCAAGAATAAAACCCCATTGAAATTGATCAAGAAATAAGCAATTTATACGAAGTATCTTCTTTTGCACAATACTGTGCAATTGAATATTTCTTGCTATTGTGCAATACTGTACAATTGACAATTTCTTGCTATTGCGCAATATTGTGCTATTGGATATTTCTTGCTATTGCGCAATACTGTGCAATTGAAGATTTCTTGCTATTGCGCAATACTGTGCAATTGAAGATTTCTTGCAATTGTGCAATACTGTGCAATTGAAAATTTCTTGCTATTGCACAATACTTATTATATAATAATTTACACATCCTGTTTGGTGTGTATCTCCTACCATATCATTATTATTTGCTTTTAAATATTAATCAGAAATAACCAACTTAAAATGGAAAATTTTAAAAGAAAAAAAAAAGGAAAAAAAGAAAAAAAAAAAAAAAAAAAAAAATCCCCCCCCCCAAATTTTTTGAACCCCCTTATGATTCATCACCCCCAAACTCAATCCCAGCCTTCCCTTTGTGGTATGGTACCTTGCAGTACAATTTCAGAGAGATCCATACACTTGAACACAAGTTATTGTCTGGAAACTAGAAAAATGCTTATTTTTGGCCCCTTTTTGGCCCCCTATTCCTAAACGTTTCGGGCAATTACCCACAAACTCAATTCCAGCTTTCCCTTTGTGATATGGAACCTTGTAGTACAATTTCAGAAATATCCAAACACTTACACACAAGTTATTGTCATGAAACTAGAAAAATGCTTGTTTTTTGCCCCTTTTTTGGCCCCTAATTCCTAAAATTTTGAGGCAATTACCCCCAAAATCAATTACAGCCTTCCCTTTGTGATATGGAACCTTGTGGTACAATGTCAGAGAGATCCATACACTTACACACAAGTTATTGTCTGGAAGTTACAAAAATGCTTATTTTTGGCCCCTTTTTGGCCCCTAATTCCTTAACTGTTGGTACCATAACCCCCAAAATCAATCCCAACCTTCCTTTTATGGTATTGAACCTTATGGTAAAATTTCATGGAGATCCATTCACTTAAACTAAAGTTAGAGTGCGAAAACCAATGTGTCTTCGGACGACGCCGGACGACGCCAGACGACGACGACAACGACGACGACGACGACGACGCCAACGTCATACCAATATACGACCAAAAAATTTTCAATTTTTGCGGTCGTATAAAAACTGCATTTTACCTCTATGTTCTATTTTAAGCCATGTCAGCCATCTTGAATGGCAGGCGGGCTTATCGGACACATTTTTTAAACTTTATACCCTAATGATGATTTTGGCCAAGTTTGGTTAAATTTGGCCCAGTAGTTTAAGAGGAGAAGATTTTTGTAAAAGATTACAAAAATTTACGAAAAATTGTTAAAAATTGAATTTAAAGGGCAACAACTCCTTAAGGGGTCAATTGACAATTTTGGTCATGTTGATTTATTTGTAGATCTTACTTTGCTGAACATTATTGTTGTTTACAGTTGATCTCTATCTATAATACTATTCAAGATAATAACCAAAAACTGCAAAATTTTCTTAAAATTACCAATTCAGGGGCAGCAACCCAACAATGGGTTGTCTGATTTGTCTGAAAATTTCAGGGCAGATAGATCTTGACCTGATGAACAATTTTACCAATGTCAGAATTGCTCTAAATGCTTTGGTTTCAGGGATATAAGCCAAATTCTACATTTTACCCCTATGTTCTATTTTTAGCCATGGCAGCCATCTTGGTTGGTGTGCCGGGTCATCGGACACATTTTTTAAACTAGATACCCCAATGATGATTGTGGCCAAGTTTGGTTAACTTTGGCTCAGTAGTTTCAGAGGAAGAGATTTTTGTAAAAGTTAACAACGGACGACGACGATGGACGACGGACACCAAGTGATGAGAAAAGCTCACTTGGCCCTATGGGCCAGGTGAGCTAATGAGTTCAAGGTCAGATGAACACTGTCAGATGAACATGTTCATCTTACAATCATTCCATATACCATATATGTTTTACCTTTTGGTTATTGTATCTGACAAATCAACCATATCACGAAAACTTAACACTGACCAATGACCTATGAACATAGGTCATTGTCAAATGAACACATCCAGACAATTATGTACACCTTTCAATAAAACTATGAACCAAATACAGTTGACCTAGTGGCAAGGTGCTTTCGACTTTGATCTGAATTGACTAGGAATGCAATTTTCCTGCAAAAGTTTGTTGGTCCTCACTGGCTTCCTCCACCAATATACAAACTGCATGCAACGAAAAGGCCAAGTGTGTTGAAAGTGGCATTTAACAGCAATAATCAATCAGTTGACCTATTTCTTATAGCATCTGAGATAGACCAAATCAGAAAAACTGAACATTAAAAAATCAATTTCAGTCAGATGAAATGTTCAAGATGAACATATGCATCTTACAATCATTCTGTATACTGTATACAGCTATATATGCAAAGTATTTAAGAACCATAGAAAGAGGTCTTTTAAGTGAATCCTGTCTGACAGAGCAGTGACATACCAAAGACAGTTAGTTGTCCAATAACTCATCATGCTCATAATTGAAAAAATTGTTTGATTGAGAAAAAAAAAGCAGTTTTATCAATGCATTCAATGAATCATGAAATTGAGGGCAACATATATAGATATGAATAAAGTTTTTAATTGAGAATCAAAGAAGAAAAAATAGATTATATTGGTTCATCTTATGTTATACATATTTGTGCTAATTAACACATTACAATACTCTGAAATTTATTATGTAATATGTTTTTTACAGTATAACAGAAAAAAGTATTAACCTTATTTCTAGTTTTCTGTGAGCAGGTGACTGGTATACATGAGATTTTTGTCTTCTTTTTGGAGGTAACGGGGGAGTTTCTCTAAACAACTTTTGTACTCTTTTCCTCCTTTCCACTGCAATTAAAAATACAACAATTAAACTTGATAAATAAGATGTTCTTATATAAATTTGCTGGTAAGGCGAAATACTTTCATTTAAACATTGTGAATGTTTAAAAGTGGTTTGTCTCATTGGCACTCATACCACATCTTCTTATATCTTTATACTATATGCTTTATCTGATATATCCTCTTAATTTTGACTTATTTCTTATATCATACATTTTATATAAATTCTTTTTTTGTAACATTTATTCCAGCATTCATACTTGTGTAATATGGGGTATACTTTAAGCTATTGTGCTTCATAATAGATGAATTGCACTTGTTGAGCACAAACCAGAATGTACAAAATATAAGAAATCACAGGGAATAACACATTTAAAACTTGTTGCATACTTACCAACTGGTACTTCAAAAAGTTGAGTTCGTGGTTTGTGTTCCCTGAGGTTATATGAGCGATTTTCTGGTTTTTTTTCTTCCTCTTCATCATTGTCATCATCATCGTCATCATCATCATCACTACTTGAGTCTATTTAAATAATATGATATAATCATCATTTCTTGAAGGTATATTGATGGCATATGATACTGGAGCAAAAGCAGATAAATAATGCATCCAAATTAAATGCATTGTTTTTGAAATCCAATCAGTTACATCAATTTGAAAGTATTTGAATAAGGAAAACAAACATGTTGTGTATTTAAGCACGTGAAATTTACTGCATGAAATTTGAGGCAAACGAAGACTGTTTACTTTTCTATCATCAATAAATTTGTATATGACAGTAATTCGTATACCGTTTTGATATACGGCGGGAATAGCTGCAGGACAAGGTTGCTTTAATACACTGCATCATAATTTAGAACCTAAAAGGAAAATCTCCAGCATTTTAAAAACTATTTCTAGCTAAAAAAAAAAATAGCACATGAAACCCTTTTTTTTTTCTCTTGCAACAACTATGTTCAACTTGTTTAAATGAAATTGCAAGAAAAAAATCAAAGGTAGTTTTTTTTTTCAATATGCATTTATATTGACAAAATATATATATATTTTATATATAGGCTATTCATTCCCAATAATGGTATGATTACTTAAAATTAAACTCATTCATCCTTCATTTTATTGACTTTCTTAAAGGCCTATCATTCAGGAACACTGCAACAAAATGGGTAAAAATATCTCTTTCCAATTCAAAGTTGTGTTATTATTTTGGAAAGTATTCAAAATTGAAATTTTGTATTTTTACATGAAATGTTTAAATTGAAGGTACATTTTTCTTTGCATATTTCTATAGTGCATATTATATTTACTTTGTGTCAAAATTTCTCATTATTTTATAAACTTTTAAAATTGTAACTGGATATTGTTATCTTTCAGACATAGTTGATTTTTTTTTTTAATATTGATTCTACCACAACATTGAGTGAGATACAATATTTTTATCTTACATTCAAAGATTTAATGCAAATGTGTTATCAAATAGAATGGTATGGAATTTATTTCTATGACATGAATGATGATTTTAGAAGATATGTAGGCAAATTTGAAAACTATTTTGTTGAAATCTGACAAAAAAATAAATTCTTTCTGTTCTGTCTCAATAACAATATCATGGTACAGCTAGGACATTTGATCTCATAATTGAATTTTGACCAATGAAGTACTGTAAACAAGCAAACCTCATGTTAACTGTAAAAAATCGAGTGATCAGGGATGGGAACGTTTAAATTGTCTAAGAACTAGAAAAACAAATTTTCTTGATCTAGCAAATTACTAAAACCACGTTTTTGTTTTCAGTTCCTTCAGGATTTCTTACCATCATCATCATCATCGTCCTCATCATCTTTATTTTCTTCATCACTAGTGTCATCAGGAATTGGAATACCATACATATCTCTTTTAATTACTTTTCTTGGCCTTTTAACACGACTGTACATATCTTCACTTTTCTGGGGGAAAAAAGAAGGTAAATAAATTTCAGTCAATGGAACTTAATGTAGAAGATAATTCCCATTTTTAATGTTAAGAGTGACCTTTATAGCTGAATAATACCTTCTTATATGTACAAAAAGAAGTTTGCACCTGTTTTTAAATTTGTTAAAGTTGTTAATTATACTTAACACTAAATATTTACCTGAGAAGCAATAGCATTCAACTTCAAATAAAGGCAATATGATATTGGACATGTTCTATTTTAAGGAATTTACTGAGCTTGACCATTTCTATTGTAACCCAAATCTTAAACCTGATACCAGACAGACTAAAGGGGGGTCACAGACTGGAAAACATAATTTTCCTTCACTGAAATAAAAGTGTCAACATAAACAATAGCAAGCACAAGAAAAAATGTTTTGATACTCCTTATTCAACTCATCTTCGCTAGCCAAGGGTTACAATCCAGTCACCTTCTCTCCACCCTTGGCGGATTAAGATAGAATTTTGGATCCAAGAGGTAATGATAGTCATTGGTTGCAGTTGTAACTGGCTGCATCCAATCAAAAAGCACCTTTAAGATGATCACGTGTAAATGTAGAGAATGTAAATAAACAATTGCCATGTGCTGATTGTGCAACAAGTCTTTACCCCCAAAACATGACTATATTTAGCATTCTTTATCAACTAATTGGAGTTCCTGGATATGTTTCTCGCGCAAATGTTGGAATGTCAACTAATATTTTCAGTTTCTGCTTCACGAAATTTGTAAACACTAGACACAATCATTTTTACATCTCCACATTGAAGAGAGTTCAAGTGCTGCCATAGGTCAAGAATGATGTAGTCGGAATGGGTGTGACTTTTATCTACCAGTAGATGGCGCACCATTGTAATCACAAATGTTGACTTATTCTGCCAAGGGTGGAGAGGAGGGACTGGATCACAACTCTTGGCTAGTGAAGATGTATTCAAATCATGGAGTTGTCAACTGAAACCAAAGTTTTTTTACCTTGACCTTTGACCTAGGAAGTTGTACATACATTATGACTGGTTAATATACATGTCAAGTATAAACATTGAAATCAAAACCGTTCTCAAGATATGGAGCGGACACGATCTTACCATAGGATATGGGGTTGTCAACTGAAACAAAGTTTTTTACCTTGACCTTTGACCTAGGAAGTTGTATATACATTATGACACACCCTCTGGTGTTGGTTAATATACATGTCAAGTATAAACTTTGAAATCATAACGATTCTCAAGAATTAGAGCGGACACGATCTTTACCACAGGACATGGGGTTGTCAATTGAAACCCAAGTTTTTTACCTTGACCTTAGACCTAGGAAGTTGTACATACATTATGACTGGTTAATATACATGTCAAATATAAACTTTGAAATCATAACAGTTCTCAAGATACAGAGCGGACACGATATTTACCATAGGACATAGGGTTGTCAACTGAAACCAAAGTTTTTGACCTTGACCTTTGACCTAGGAAGTTGTACAAACATTATGATACACCCTCTGGTGTTGGTTAATATACATGTCAAGTATAAAGTATGAAATTATAACGGTTCTCTAGATAAAGAGCGGACACAATTTGTTACGGACGGACGGACAGACAGACTGATCACTATAGGGCGATAGTTATATTTCCCCAAAAATCAATAGTACACTTTACAATTTTCTGTCAACTATCTGAAACATTTTCACAGACAAAACTTTTGTCAATTGAAGGTAAATGGACAATTAATGTAAATGATAAAAGATCAAGGCACGTTAGTACACAATGCTGGTATACAAGAGTTTGAATTTGAGCCCTAACCAGGAAATCTTTCTATTTCATGTTATAGCAGTAAACAATATAATGTGAATCCATTTTTTCTTTTGATATTCTGGAAAGAGTTATATTCTCATATTATATTTCATCACTAAGTTTTATTATACCCTCTATTCACATATAACTGATGATTTTTCTCTTTATAATCAATACCAAATGTGTCATTTTTTCACAACCTGTTACCGTATAGTGGGTTATTTTCGCGGGTGTAAAATTTCGCGATTTAGGGGCAACAAAGTATACGAAAAATTTTGACGGTTTTTATTTTGGCGGATTCTTTCATCCCAATTAAATATTTTGGCAGATACTGAAGTGGTTCCAGTTAAAAAGTTGTAAAAATTGACAAACAAGGGTCCATTTTTATGGTTAAATGATTGTTTTTCCTGCATGAATTTATTTATTGATTATTTTTATACAGTTATCAATAGAATACGGCGGGTACATAGTTATTTTTCACAGGTGTACAAACTTCTTGTAAATGTTATGGTTGATCAGTTACGAAATTTACCGGACCTTTGATGTACTAATTAGATTATAAAATTATCATGAGTGACTTGCAACTCTTATATAATTTGACACTAATTAATAAGGATAAAATACCTGACAGCGTACCTTACACTCTTATATTATTATTTATTTTATCATGTAACCAATAAACTAATTAACACCTGATAGCCAGTGAACAATGGCCTTTGGCATTTATGTTGTTTAAATTAACAAAAACCCTGATTGATCCGTCGAAAGCGAAAAAAATAGATAGTTTAAAACACTTTAACTTAGAAAGTATCGAACGTATGCATAAATTTTCGCAGAATTTATTTTCGAGATTTCTCCTGGCCCGCCAAAATAAGCGAAAATTAACACCCCTCGAAAATAACCCGCTATACGGTATTTGAAACAAGTTCTGTGACCAATCATTTTTATACGCCTGTCAAATTTTTGACGGGACGTATTATGGTATACAAATGTCCGGTGTCCGTCCGTCTGTCCGTCTGTCTGTCCGGCGTAAACATGTCGCACCGTAACTTGAGAATGACTTATTCATTTTATGAAACTTAACATAGTTGTTTCTTATGATGGTCAAACGATCTGTATACTTTTTGGTGAAAATAAGATTAAAACTTTTTGAGTTACAGACTTAGTAACTAAAACAGGTGTGTGTTTTTTTTTCACATGTCACGCCGTATCTCAAAAACAATTTATGATTATTGCTTAAAACTTTACACACTTCTTAGTTATATTAATCTTAAGATCTGTATACTTTTTGGTGATGATTCAAAATCTTATTTTAGAGATATTGAGTATTTTGTTAAAAAAGGGGGAGGGTTTTTTCATATGTCGCATTGTATCTCAAAAACAGTTTATGATTATTGCTTAAAACTTTACACACTTCTTAGTTATATTAACCTTAAGATCTGTATACTTTTTGGTGATGATTCAAAATTTTATTTTTGAGTTATTGAGTATTTTGTAAAAAAATAGGGGGAGGGGTTTTTCACATGTCGCGCTGTATCTCAAAAAGGATTTATGATTATTGCTTAAAATTTTACACACTTCTTAGTTATATTAATCTAAAGATTTGTATACTTTTTGGTTTTGATTCAAAATTTTATTTTAGAGATATTGAGTTTTTTGTAAAAAAAAAAGGGGGGTATTCGCATGTCACGCCGTATGTCAGAAACTATTTATGCTTATTGCATAAAAATTCACACACAAGACGACAGGCGTATCATGCGCTCATGGCGCAGTTGTTTATTATTATATTTTTGAACCTATCATAGAATTTACTACAACTTGGAAAAGTATGAAAAAAATTATATCATTCTTCGTTTATACTCCAATACCACCTTAAATGATTTATTATGGATTGTATCTCCCTGTTATTTTATGCTCTTTCTTCCTTAAAATTTTGTCCCTCCTTCTGATTTATACTGTTGAAGAAAGAACTAGCAGGTTCATCCACACTGTTGTCGGAAGCAGTGGAACAAAAGCCAAATGCCTGCAACTTTGTTAAATTTGACTGACGCAATATTTGAAAATTTTCACTTCCCTATAAATATGACAAGTACGATGTGTTATATATCAAGTTTTGAGAAGAAGAATCGTTCTTTCTGGGCTACAGTACAGTGAATTTAGGCATATGTAATTTGTCAGACAAAATAATGCAATTAAGCAAAGTATGCTAATATTTGAAATCTGACATAATGGCCCAAACAAGATCGGAAGTACAGGAAATTCCCCGAATAAATTGAAACGCTGTGATCTACATATACAGCATGTTTTGTGTTTTAATTCTTTCAATAGATTATAAACAAATTAAACTGTTATTATAAATTGTTTAACCTACATGACATGAGAAATTAAAATAGCACCAGTTGTTATTGATCTATAAATAAATTTGTTTTCCTTGGCCCTTATAAAATGAAACAACAAACAGTGATTACCATCTTCGTGATAATAAAAGTGTACTTCTGTGCCCTTGACATGCAGTTATTTCTATTGCAGTGTGTGTAACTGTGTCAATGACCTTGATGGTTTTTGTATAAATGCAAAGTTGTAAAGGGGCCATTCACAAGTTTTTGTTTGCCGCAATTGTTGTACATAAAAATAAATGGAGAATGTGTCCATGGGACATGGATGATTCCACCCTTGCATATAACATTATAAAGGGGCATAACTCTAGAACAGTAAAAGTGACACCACCCAAATTCGAACTTGATTGGGTTTTGTGGTAATAAGCATTGTGTATAAGTTTCATAACATTTGGTTAAGGCAAACTAAAGTTAGAGAACAGACACCAATTTCGGGACAGACATACAGGCGTACAAGGGTGAAAATTAATGCCCCCTCCGGTGATGGCGGGGGCATAAAATTAAGAATTAGAAGTAAATGCATTTTTTATTAATCACAAAAAATAAAAAAGTTCAACCTATAAAAGTCTAAAATCATAGTTTAATCTACTGTCATAATAAAAAAGAAAACAAATCACCCCAAGTTTAACAAGTGAAACTGTGAGCCACTGCTCACTGATGATACCCCCGCCCAAATATTTCGGTAAACAGGAAGTTGTTGAGTGATGAATCTGAAAACGCATCATACGCCTTAAACGGAGTAAGAGAAAATCTGATCAATTTGGAGTCAGCATAATGTGTCCAGAGTAGGGTCT